CGCTATTAGCCTTTAGCCGTAAAAACGTGTGCGCCGCGGTAATTAATTATATGCATAAATGTGGATCATTCACACGTCTATTCACAGCTCGTTTACATATCAATGCAGGTCCAGTAACAAATATACAGCCAATATAGTCACTTTACAATAGATCAACAGAAAACAGCCTGTTTATGTGCGGGAGCTACAGCAGCTAATCGCTAACAAATAACAAAAACTAGCATCAAAGTCAATGTATTTCCAACACTCACCGCTCACACAGGCTTCTCCTCACATCACAAGTCTGCACTAAGAAATGTCCTTTTAATCCAGACTCAAACCGATTGTCCGTAAAAAGAAAATAATCTCAGTGTTGCGCACCGCTGCGGGTGTAAACAAACACACCTGAGTGAAGTGACGTGACTCTGGTGGTGTGTTCAGGGACAGTATGGACACACACACACAGACAAATTACACCGCAGATAAATACTGATGCGGAGCCACATATTAGGACATTTATCTGTCTGTAAAGTGGATTAAAATAACATAATGCAGAGAGTCTAAGATTTATAAGGAGGTATAACATGACCACGTGAAATATCGGCCCATATCAGCAAGCCGATGGCCGATATGTCTCCAGGTGCCCATATTGGCCAGCCGATATATCGATCGGACTCTAGTCTTAAACCAGTGGCGCCTGTGGGTATGAATGTGCGTGCCCTGAATGTTCCAAGTTTTGCATGGAGGAGCACGACGTTGATTATTGACCAAACTCTTCACTTATTTACCCAAATACCAGTCCTGGGAGTGCCGCGATAATAACTCTGAAAAACAAGTGCTCACATCCAAGTCTGTGTCGAGGTCCTCACTCTTTTGTCACTCATCTCAGTCAGTGCGTTCAGCAGGGATTTGTACCGGTCCGCATAATCAAACGTTTTAATTCTAAACAACATGAGAAATTAAACTTATTCAGTAAAGTAAGACTGAAGTGAGTGTTGACTCTTCTGCAGTGGGTCTCATTCTAGGTACACAGGAGTTCGCGCCCATGTCCTCAGTTTATGTAAACAGCTTTGCAGAATAACTACTGACACCTCACAGAGTTAGAAACACACACGAGCCGCAATGCCGCTCTTGACTGTGTGCACTATCCCAAAAAGTACAGATTATTTTTTTATTTAAGTTCAGTACTTTACTACCATCCATCCATTTTCTTCTGCTTTATTCGGGGCTGGGTCATGGGGGCAGTAGTCTGAGCAGGGACATGCAGATTTCCCTCTCCACACACACTTCTTCCAGCTCTTCCGGGGGGATCCCGAAGCGTTCCCAGGCCAGCCGAGAGACATAGTCCCTCCAGCGTGTCCTGGGTCTTCACCGGGGCTTCCTCCCAGTGGGACATGCCCAGAACACCTCCCGAGGGAGGCGTCCAGGAGGCATCTGGAACAGATGCCCGAGCCACCTCAGCTGGCTCCTCTCGGTGTGGAGGAGCAGCAGCTCTACTCTGAGCGCCTCCCATGTGACTGAGCTCCTCACCCTGTCTCTAAGGGAGGAAACTCATTTCGGCTGTTTGTGTCCATGATCTCGTCCTTTTGGTCATTACCAAAAACTCATGACCATAGGTGAGGGTAGGAACATAGACTGACCGGGAAATCGAGAGCTTTGCCTTTTGACTCAGCCCCCTCCCTCAGTGCCGATGCTGCACTGATCCGCCTGTCAATCTCGCATGCCATTCTCCCCTCATGCACTCTATCCTGGAACGCGAGGATGGAGTACTTTACTATTTTTTGTTTTGTCTTGTTTTTATACGTAGACTAAGTGACATCAACATCCTGTATGTCTATGTTTTTGAAGTCCAGGAAAGTTTTCACAAAGCAGGACAGAACATGTACAAGAAAAGATCAGAGATAAAGTTGGGGTGGGCCTGAGCCTGTCATGTGTGCAGCCACAGGAAGTCTTAAAGGTGCATTGTGTAACTTTCCTGTTGGAGGGTCCGTCACCTGCTTGTTTCTAAGGATATCTCATTGTTCCACCTGGACTGTTCCACAGTATGACATTAATCAGGACTACCTTACATTTATTCAGTTACAGGTGGTTTTATAGCTGGAAAAAAATACCTAGAAAAACAGGTATTCTGACTGACTAACTTGGTCTGGTTTGGTCTGCATGATGATAGACAAAGAAATAACATCTCCATGGAGAAAAGTATCTCACAGACCACCCATCAGAAAAGTTACACAATGCACCTTCTGTTCTGTTCTCAATGACATCTTTATGCAGTGACGCAGTAGGACAGCTAGAGTGGCATCCTCCCCGGATGCAGATCAAATGGGTATTGTGGCCCATGTATTGAGACGTACCGAATCGTGAATCACCAATCAAACTGTATCATTGCATCCATAGTAGACATTAAAGTTCCACAGTGCAGCTTTAAGACTCCTGTTGATCCAGGGACACAGACCTGCTCCAGCAAACCCTAAACCATAACTGTTTCTTTTCAGGAAAATGGAGAACAGACCAGGACCAGCTGAACCAGGACTAAACCAGGACTGTCACAGGTCTAAAGCAGGTCCTGGCCCCAGTGGAGTCTCTCTGTGCAGTAACGACTCCAAAGACTTGGGCATTAACTTCGAAAAAGGACAAACTGGATCCTCTGCAAGATTTAAAGAGCACTCACATCCGAGGTATGGACTGAACCAGGACTAGACCAGGACTAAACAGGACTACTCAATACTAATTCATTATTGTTAATAATGATGAACCCAGAACTGAACCAGGACTGAACCAGGACTGAACCAGGACTAGAGTAGGACTTAAGAAGGGTCATGTTTGTACACAGTCTGCATTAATGAATATTTCTTTAAATGTTATGGCTGGCTACAAGTGCATTATGTAATAGGGTGTATAAAATTGAAGGCTCTAAAATAAAATTTAAAAATGCCTGGATTAAACTCACCCGTTAAAGTTGCATTGTGTAACTCCCAAACAGAACCAGACCTGACACATTGATTTTTTAAAATTATATTTTTCACAAAAATGTATTTGTTAAATTCTCTGTTCTCATGATTAAAAAATATATATAAATTATATTTCATATAATTTTGTTCTCATGAAGGTGTATAGGTATATTATCAGAAGTAATTATTGATAAATGGCAATATATCATCCGTTGTTTTATTATGGGGAAATTTTGTGATAGCGAATCGAGACATGCATATCATGATATGTATGTATGTATTGTATTGTCAGGCTGCAGGCAATGCAGACTCCTGCTGAATTCATGCTAGATCTGTTGAACATGGAAATACTATGTTCAACATAATATCCAAATCCACTCAGTTTATGGGTTCATGTCAGTGAACACGATCATGGAATAATTTAGCTCCATAAAATGCTTCTTTATAAAGACTAATGAATATTTATATAATTGTACTGTTGGCATTGGTGCAAAAATAAATAACAGTAACTGTTAACAATTACTGTACTTTATTTTTATCATTTTGGCAGAAAGAATGAATAATTTTTACATTGTGGTTATATTGTAACTATTATTATTACAGCCAAACAGATTGATATTGTGGCACCATGTATCGAATCGCAAGGAAACTGTATCATTGCATCCAAAGTTCCACAGTGCAGCTTTAAGACTCCTGTTGATTTAGGGACACAGACGTGCTCCAGCAAACCCTAAATTTTAACTGTGTTTCTTTTCAGGAAAATAGAGAACAGACCAGGACCAGCTGAACCAGGACTAAACCAGGACTGTTACAGGTCTAAAGCAGGTCCTGGCCCCAGTGGAGTCTCTCTGTGCAGTAACGACTCCAAAGACTTGGGCATTAACTTTAAAAAAGGACAAACTGGACCCTCTGCAAGATTTAAAGAGCACTCACATTTGAGGTATGGACTGAACCAGGACTAAAGCAGAACCAAACAGAACTATTCAATTCTAATTCATTATTGTTAGCCATGATGAATCCAGGACTGAACCAGGACTGAACCAGGACTGAACCAGGACTGAACCAGGACTAAACCAGGACTAAACCAGGACTAATCAGGACTCTGTTGTTATTGATCGACAGAAACGAGGATTCGAGCGTTCCCATTGGTCAGGAGCCTCAGGCAGAGCTGGACTCCATCTTCCAGGTCTGTGATGTCAAAGTGTTTATGTGATTATTGAAAAGACGCACACATGTGTGACACATGGTAGGCCTGTTAAATAAGATTATTATTAGATTTTTATTTGTCATGGCATTATAAACTGTTCATTGTATTTCAACATCGGCTTTACCCACCATCAGCTCCAGTGTCGTATCTGTTCTGTTCTCGGTCAGGAGTCATTTTGGTGCCTTTGTCTCCTTGTATGTGCGTTTTGCTTTGACACTGAGCTGATTTAAAACACCCGCTGCACAACAAGGTTAAACCTGTTCAATGTCCAGACACTGTTGGTGCAACATTCACACACGTCCTGTCAGGAGAATGTCTGGAGAAGAGCTGTGTGACATTGTGTGTGTGAAAATGGCTTTAATCTTTAGAATGTGATGTTTTTATAAAGGGTGCAACAATATTGGGTATAGTCAAATCGTCTGTGGGTGCTGTGCGGCTCTGACTCTTGTATCTCTATGGTTCTTGCCATAGACTTTATATATGAATAGACATGGCTAGCTATATTTACATTTATTAATGTTCAAAATAGCCAAATAAAAACCCCAGGATCATGTAGAGAGGGTTAAAAATACATTTTAAGGTCAGAATGATGAGTCACTTCGCGCTCATGCTTCCTGTTTGGGACCCACACAGCTAGTGCGTTAGCTATGTCTATTTATTTATACAGTCTGTGCTTGTCCCAAGGGTCACTCCCACTAGCGTTAGCAGCAGGTTTGATTGACAGTGTTGCTAAGCACACAGACCGCTGGTTTGGCATGGGGCAGGCACTTAGCAACACTCTCAATTAAAGCTGGGAAGGGCCATTACTTTCAACAGCCTTCGCTCCTGATTGGCTCTTTGATTTCGTGCTCGGATTTCCAAACATGGTTCCTGGTTGCATGGTTAGGCTGCTGCCCCCCGCGACCCGGCCCCGGATAAACGGACGAAAATGGATGGATGGTTCCTGGTTGCAGATTAGCAACTATTAATGGTAGCTTCGTTGAGCTTAATTTGGATGCTATAGTGACGTCACACTTCCTCGGTCTACTTCTGTTACACAGTCTGTGGTTCCAGGTTCTGGAGGAGCAGGTCCTGAGGTTTGTAAAACAGCAGCTGCAGAGGCTTCACAGACTCCTGGCCTCAGATTACCCAGAATGCCCCGAGAGTGAGGAGGAGGAGGAGAGCCGAGAGGTTCTGACCATCACCTTGGATTTCCTGAAGAAGATGGACCAGGAGCAGCTGGCCCAACGCCTTTTCAGCAGTAAGAACTTCCAGATGCCCTCCCATCCTCCTGTATCCCTGTGTCAGATGCCCTCCCATCCTCCTGTATCCCTGTGTCAGATGCCCTCCCATCCTCCTGTATCCCTGTGCGTCACTGTGTGAGGCAGAGAAAATGTAAATGCAGTTCTTTAGTTGATGCTCTTATTTATCATGACAAGGAGGAAGTAAACTGGTAAACTGGTAGACCACTTGCTTTGGAGAGACAGGTGTAAACTTTTTGTGCCTCAAAAAGATAAAATAATGAGTTGTTTCCAAAGCATTGTTATAGATAGTGGTGGAAGGTATGAATGAAGTACAAGCAGTAAAGTACTACACTTAAGCACATTTATTAGGTATCTGCCCATTTTAAAGTGGATTTTTTTTTACTTCACTACATTTGAGAGCAGGTATCTGTACTTTCTACTCCACTCCATTTTTTAACAGAATTGAAAAGTAAAAAAGAAAAAAATTCATATGATTTTAGGGGATATTTTTACCATGTTTGTTGTAACATTCTGACTTTTGAGCTTTTGAGTTAAAGCTTCAACTTTCAGCAAACAATAATAAAGAGAAATAAATTAAATAAAAATGTATTTGTATTGCCATTGTTGACCAAAATCTGTGTCATTTTTAATCAATAAAGTTAACACTTTAACAAATTAACAACAGTTTATCATGGCACAGTAAGTCACTGATGTACTGGGGCACCTGGCCATTTAGAACTCCCATGAACATGATTTTAAAATCAATATGGAATTTAACAAGAAGCTAGTGCAGTGAAGATAAAATAGGTGTGATATGTGTTCGCCTGTTAGCTCCTGTTAAAAACCTTGCAGCCAAGTTTTGTACAAGTTACAGCCGCTTAAGGGTGATGCATTAATAAATCTAAACGAGATGAAATAACAGAGTGAACATTCATCTCAAGATCAGCATTTGATCAAATTTGTCTCAGTTTAGAGATGTTCTGTAGCTGTAAAAGCGGTTGCAGAATTGAAAACTTGCATGGAACTGTTTTCTGAGTAAAAACAGAAAATAGAGTCTGAGTAAAAGTTCGCCTATATTGCAAGTTGCATCACTTGTGTATTATGAGCTCATTTGACTAAAGCCAGTGTAAAGCCTAAAGCAGTTTTAGAGCATTTAAAAGTTAATATTTTTGTCACTCCTGTGTCTATCAACTTAAAATTAAAAGTGGCATTGTGTGTGTGCAATTGGCTTTTGTATCAGATGCTCTCCCATCCTCCTGTATCCCTGTGTGTCAGATGCCCTCCTGTATGTTTAACATATAACTCTTCTGTCTTGTTTAAAGGGAGTAAAGTTGGATTCAGAGATAAACTGAAGTGTGATCTGAAGCAGAGGTTCAGCCGTGTGTTTGAGGGTGTCGCTAAAGCTGGAGACTCCGCCCCCCTGACCCAGATCTACACAGAGCTTTACATCACAGAAGGCGGAGCCTCAGAGGTCAACCAGGAACATGAGATTAGACACATGGAGACCGCATCCAGGAGAGCAGTCGTTCCAGAGATCACCATCACATGTGAAGAGCTCTTTAAAGACCACCCACATTCACCAAAGCCAGTCAGAGCAGTGCTCACGAAGGGTGTGGCCGGCGTGGGGAAAACAGTGTTGACTCAGAAGTTCTGTCTGGACTGGGCTGAAGGCCGGGCCCACCAGGACCTCCAGCTGCTGTTTCCGTTCACTTTCAGAGAGCTGAATGTGCTCAGAGACACGCAGTTCAGCCTGGTAGAGCTGCTGCACCACTTCTTCAGTCCATCCAAAGATCTCTGCAGCTTCCAACAGCTCCAGGTGCTCTTCATCTTTGACGGTCTGGATGAGTGCAGACTTCCTCTAGACTTCAGCCGAACCCAGGCCTTGAGCGACCCCACAGAATCCACCTCAGTGCACGTGCTGCTGGTGAACCTCATCAGGGGAAGCCTGCTTCCCTACGCTCGTCTCTGGATAACCACACACGCCCCGCCGCGGCCAATCAGATCCCTGCTGAGTGCATCTCCATGGTGACAGAGGTGCGAGGGTTTGCCGACCTGCAGAAGGATCAGTACTTCAGGAAGAGGTTCACAGACCAGGCCATAGCCATCATCTCCCACATCAAGAGCATCCGCAGCCTCCACATCATGAGTCACATCCCAGTCTTCTGCTGGATCCTCTCCACAGTTCTACAAAAGCTTCTGGAACAAGCAGAGAGACAAGAACTGCCCCGGACTCTCACGCAGATGTACGTCCACTTTCTGGTGGTGCAGGCCAAAGTCCAGAATATCAAGTATCACCAGGGATCAGGGGCAGATCTTCACTGGACTCCAGAGACCAGGGAGATGGTGCGTTCTCTGGGAAAACTGGCCTTTGAGCAGCTGCAAAAAGGAAACCTGATTTTCTATGAGAGTGACCTGGGTGAGTGTGGGCTGGATGCTGCAGCGGCCTCAGTGTATTCCGGAGTGTTCACACAGGTCTTCAGAGAGGAGCCAGGCCTGTACCAGGACAAGGTCTACTGCTTCATCCATCTGAGTGTGCAGGAGTTTCTGGCTGCTCTTCACGTCCATCACACCTTCTTCAGCTCAGGAGAGAACCTGCTGAAGACACCACACTCCTCTGAGAGCTCTGACCCTGAGTCTTACCCTGAGGCAGCCTTCTACCGTTCTGCTGTGGTCCAGGCCTTACAGAGTCCAAATGGGCACCTGGACCTATTCCTGCGCTTCCTCCTGGGGCTATCTCTGCCGACCAATCAGAGCCTTCTGCAGGGTCTTCTGTCTCAAACAGGAAGTGACAGGACCAATCAGATGACAGTAAAGTACATCAAACAGAAGTTGAATGAAGAGGGTCTGTCTGTAGAGAGAAACCTGAACCTGTTCCACTGTCTGAACGAGCTCAACGACTGCAGTCTGGTGCAGGAGATACAGAAGAACATGAGAAAATACCTCTCTGATAGAAACATGTCTCCTGCTCAATGGGCAGCTCTGTCCTTTGTCTTACTGTCCTCAGACTCAGACCTGGAAGAGTTTGACCTGAGGAAATACCAGGCCTCAGAGAGAGCTCTCCTGGGTCTAACACCGGTGTTCAAAGTTTCCACCAAAGCCCTGTGAGTCCAGACTGTATTTAAACTCTTGTGTGGAGGTTCTAGTCTCTAACGTCCCTCTCTCTCCTCAGTCTTTGTGGCTGTGGCTTGTCCCCTCACAGCTGTGGTCCTCTGTCCTCAGTCCTCAGCTCCTCCAGACTCACACATCTGGATCTCAGTCACAATGATCTCCATGACTCAGGAGTGGAGCTGCTGTGTTCTGGACTGAAAAGTGCCCAATGTAAACTGGAGACGCTCAGGTGAGATGCTCCCATGATGCACTCTGCCCCCCTTATGTCCACATGAGTGTAATGCTGTGTCTTTAGGTTGTCTGGGTGTCTGATCTCAGAGAGGGGCGGGGCTGCGCTGGCCTCAGCTCTGAGCTCCACCCCGTCCCACCTGAAAGAGTTAGATCTGAGCTACAACCATCCAGGACCCTCAGCCGAGCTCTTGATGGCTCTACAGCGCCCCCTGCCATCTGTCAGGTAAGACCGCATTTGCCCCCTGCTGTCTGTCAGGTGAGATCGCCCCCTGCTGTCTATCAGGTGTGGGTCCTGGTCTGTGATCCATGGTTGATCCTGGTTTCTGGTCCTGGTCTAAACTGGACTTGTGTGTTTCAGGCTGGATCCTGCTGGAGAGCGCTGGATGGTCCCAGGTCTGAGGAAATGTGAGTCTGCTTTTATTTCATTCACACAGAAAAGTGCAAATAACAGATCAGACAATTTCCTTAATTTTACATTTTTGGTGAAGTTTATCAGTTAGCTCAGACATGACCAGTAGATGTGACATAACAGTTACCTAGCAACCATACTGTAAACAATGGCCAAAACTAATCTCATTTAATATATTTCAAAATATATCTAGCATAGTTTTCCTTTACTTTTCCTTACAAGTGTTTGCTGGTGAAAGACTTTTTAACTAGTATTTATCATGTACGATCCCCTGTGGTAAAGAAGTACTAAATTTTGTTACTTAAGTAGAAGTACAGATACTTGAGGAAAAAAAAAAACTCAAGTAAAAGTAAAAGTATCACATGCAAAAATCTACTGAAGTAAAAGTAGTAAAGTATTCTTTTAAAAAAATACAAAAGAATAAAAAGTAAAAGTATTTCTTTCATATTTTAATGTCATCTATAGCGTCAAATGTAATGATTTTGATAAA